AACTAAGCAGGAGGTAATCAGGCGTCTCTTTCTTCCCACAACCACACCGATCTATGCTGCTTATTTTTCGCTTGTAAAGATATGATTTGTAGTATTCATGGCCAAGCTTGAGCTGGAAAAAGGCGCTTGCTGTCTCTCTACTAATTCCTGGGACCAATGTAATCTTATGGTTAATTTTCCAATCAATTTCTTCCTATTTGAAGGAGGATTCATGGACTGCTTATCATCTTGTAAATGAAGATATTTTAGCCAGTCTTTTTGAGAAGTTTGATTAATCTTTGATTTAAGCATTGCAAGACTTATCTTAGTGCCACTGAGCTGAATTTTGGAGGCATATTTTGCCAATTCATCTGCCTCTTCATTTCCAAGGATCTTCGTACGTCCTAAAACTCATTCTAGCTGAATGCTTACATTTGTCTCCGGATTATCTGTGCAGCCGCATCAGCTATAGGTTGACAGGACTGTCCTAAATTACCCGAGAAAATTTGAAGTCTTTGAAGAGCTGCTTGATTGTTCGAAAAGATATAAAAATTATGCCCAAGCTATGCATGCTAGCTAGCATACTCCATGGCTTGAACAATTGCTTCTAGATCTCCATTGTATACTTGGGCTCCTAGGCCAATATTGGAGATTTGATGATGATAGATACTGCCACAACTCCCGTTTATTGCGTGGCTGACTCCAACACCAGTGATTTCTGCCAACATGGAGGCATAGATTTATATAAATGTGTTTTGAATCCAATTCGTCTATTGAAGCAAAGCCTGATGATTCTTTGCTGCTTCATCCTTTGAAGCCATTTTGATATTGATGGTTTATGGGAGAGCCAGCTCCCAAGGTAGATTCTGAAAGTGTGATAAATTTTCTATTTCAAATCCATCTGTTCTATCTAAAATTGAATTATTTTTAGCTGGGTTGTTTTTGAATATTCAAGGTCTCTATTACCTTCAATATTGACAGGATGGGTTCTGGACAATTTAAGCAATCTGACTGCATACATGCACTATTACTGGTTTAATCTTATTCTTGTTGGCATCAAGGCTGCCTCTACTTCCATGGCAAGTATTGGAGCAGTCTTAAACACTCCCAGTATTTTCCTGAGTGCCATATTCTGGGTCTTCTGAAGTGATAATGCAGGGAATTCTTGTCCTTTCAACCATATAATGGAGCTATAGTCAGAAATACTGATGATACAAGCCAGATAAATCTGTCTAACAGCGAGTGGTGTTGGTCCCCTTTTGGTTAGAATTCCCAAGTGAACTATCCCAACCGCATCTATAACGAGCCACTGCTGTATTTCGGAACAAACTCTCACACCGTGCTATCTACACCACCAACTCTAGAGTACATCGCGATACAAGGCACCTTTCAGATGTCGCAACTATGAGGGCCCACATTGGTCAATCATCAAGAACGATTGGGTATAATTCCACAAGCTGGAATACGTGAAATCGCAGCTGTAGCACAAGCGAGGGTTTTTACCAAAAACCCCGAGACCGACCCCGACAACACAGTCGAGTACGTTTTCATGCGGGAGGGCTCGAGATTCGGGGAACTTGGGCCGGAATAGGCTTAAAAGGAAGCAATCCTCTTCACCAAACCGACGTGGATCCTCACTCAACTCGCAAAGTTTATCCGGTCAAGGAGAGGATCTATGTGCTCATAGCCGGCTCTCAGCAGTGGTCGACACAGCGTGTCACGTGGGAGATATGATGGGAACGGAGACTGGCGAGGAGCGAGTGGGATAGAATCATGCAAGGCGGAACCCTCTACGTAATGAGTGTTTTGTAATTGTTTTGTCACTCTCTTGTATTGCTGCCCGATCCACTGCGCCTCTAGTAGCGATTACTACTATACGAATGACCTGAGATCTCCGTCGGCTCCACCGATCCTGTATCAAACACTAATTTGGAGCTTTGTGTCGGAATGATTTATCTAGCTGCAGTTGTGTGGAGTTGTAACGGCTTGTGAGCCCATTAATGCGTGACACGTGATCTTAATCATGTGCCTCTATAATTATACAGTAATCTAGCTTTTTTCCAGGTTAGTTCAGCTGCAACTGGAATATTCTAGTAATTGATAGCAAGACTTGGAACTATTATAAGTGGAATGTGCGAGAAGCAGACATCAGCCAAGAACGAGTATTCTAGATATCTTCATAAATGTATAAATAGTTGAAGTAATGCTTTGATAGTAAGCCACAGAGAAAATCATAAACTACCGACGTATATCTGATTTCTCCAGCATTGGCACTCGAACCGTGATAGTAGTCGATGGTTATTGCACTGCGTTGATTAATTCTCTTGATTTATGGATTCTGACATTCGGATAATGCTTTAACCGAGCGTGAGATGGCAATTCCAAGACACCAATATAAGTTAATAGTATGAATAACCATGATCACCCCCGGAGGGCAAGACTGAACACCTGTACGCCGTGTCCTCTACGAACCTGGAAGTGAAATATTTTCCCAGAGCCAAGTTCAGTCAAATTTCGCAATATCAAAGAAGTTGGCCCACGTGGCAAAAATTCAAATTACTCCACCATGTCAATCTTTCACTCCCAAAGAGTCCGATTCTCAACCAAGCTTCATCAAGTCTACAAGTACGACATAGTACATCCTCACCCCAATGACCACACCTCTCGTCGACTTTCTCTGGCCTTAGTTGACCGCCAAATACACGCCCACGCCGATATTTATACCCGACGGAGGAAGCAAAGTGTGGCGCACAAATCTGGGAGACAGTTCTTTGGGATGGACGTGAGAGGAATTCAGGACAAGTTTACAAGATGATGCAGAAGAGGGATACGTTTTCGACGGGCGTGAAATTTCGAATTTTGGCAAGAGATTTACGAATTGGGCTTTGTGCGCGCCAAGACTTCGCTTGCGAGAGTGCAGTTGACACTATAAAAACAATCAAACGATGGAAGGTGTTGTGGTCCGCCTCCTGGTGGTGTTCTCTGGTATGGTTTGAGTAGCCTGGACACCTACTCCACCTGGGAAGGAGACACCCCAGATCATATATCGCGCGGAGAAAAGTTGATGGATGACAGAGGCATGTCTGGATAATTCAGGGTTTTTGAGATGTTCCCCTGGGTGGGTATTCACGGATGAGGGTTGACTTGGGGTGAAGAAAAAGCCACCATAACTTCGCAGTGGTACTTGCAAATGAAATCCGAGGCATGAGTGCTCCTCTTGTAAATTGAGCCATTTTTTCTGTGCTTTTCTTTGATATTGTGTCATAGCTAGATAGCTGCATACGCAATTAAAATCTGATGCAAAAAAAAAACCATGATCACCCATTTCTTCAGAACGATAGCTGGAACTTGTTGAAAAAATTGCGCAATATTTATGGAACGGAAGTAGAAGTTGACTAAAAGAGTGTCATGTTCGGATTACGGCTAAAAGAGTGGGAAGTGTGCGCTACGAGTACAAATGTAAGCAATGCAGAGCCTAAGCCACAGCATAAACGAGTGCGACACCATCTAGGCATATAAGACCCCCAATAACCTCCTTGTGCCCACACTATACAGCCACTCATATCTCCAGTAGGTAGCCTGAAGCGCTACCATATTCCCCAGGCCAACCTCTTAAATACACACAAGATCGTGTCGGGAACCCAGACGAATTCGAGGACCCGTACGTCCACAACACTCTGCATCTTCATTTCCACTAGAAGGGTGAAAGAATTCTCCCTATTCTAGAAGGAATGGGTGGATTACTCTCGTATAATGCACAGTCGATTTCATTAACACGCACACCCAGCAGCGTTTGGGGACTTTGAATTTCTCTTAAAAATTGCTTCACAAGAGACTCCGAGTATTTTTCTGCCTGATGCTTTCCAGACGTTCTCTTGCTATCAAGCTTATGGCCTAGCTCACTCTTTTTCGCAAGTTGAACTGTCTTCCCTACTTAATGATGAATGACTTCTAGCAGGTTAGCTAGTGGCCTATCTCCCGGTATTGCTCCCGAGTCTGTCACTGAAAACCATGCTGGCTTGTATTTAGCGCATCGTTGGAGCACCTGCGCTTCACCTTGGTATAACCCAAGTGCTAGCGCGACGCCATCAGCTGGGAAAGCGTATGAATGTTCAGGTAAAACCAAATCTTTTACTTGAACTGCATAGTCGGCATTTACTTTGATGGATGGAGACGTATGAGCTGGCGCAAAAGAGTTATATATTCATTGGACTAAGACCTTACTCTCATGGGCCAGAGTTGCGATCGACTGTTATGAATTTGTTAGATTTAATCTGGATGTGGTGATGCAGGGGTTATCTTTTTAATTCACTTAGGTCTGAGGCAACAGGTTGGATTTGTTCTTGAGTTGTAACAATTTTTTTTTGTTTATTGGATAATTTGCTTATTGGGAACTCGATATTTTGATAACATGACAATCTGAACATATGAATTCGTAACTTTGATAATCCGAGCCTCGATCACCTTCATTTGTCTTCTCGTAATCAATTCGCACCTTCGTAACTTCCTAGCCTCGAACCTTCGATAATTTGTCCTCTTTGATAATTTGTCTTCGTCGAAATCGACTCGACCTCTGTAGCTTAACAGCTTCGAAAATCTGCGAATAAGTAGATTCATAACATCGACCTGGCTGTACATTTCCCAGGATTCACCGCGTTTGACAAACTCAATGAATTTTCTGCCCCAACCTGCTCTTATGCTTGGTGACAAGATTGATACCAACTTTTACCTGCCGCAGCATCATTATCAAGCCTAAGAACTTGTTAGTCTGACAAGGATGGCTGTTGTTGTGATATACAATATGGATGGGCGTTTGTAAGCAATGAGACATTACGTGAACTAAACCAAGTGTGGCTAGCAAGGCACGGTGAGGGATTAGCCGAGGCTCGTGCGCAAGGTATTAGGAACACTTCTCTTGTAGAGGTAATCTGTCCTGCTTCATCCTTTTATATATATGTACACATGTAGATTCTAATTAATTTAATCTCCACACCTTGCTCTACCCTCACCTCCGCAGACTATTAAGCTCCAGACTCCAAGACGTCGTACATAACCTCATAACCATAATAGCTGTCCACCCATAATTCTCGCCATAATTTTGGAAAATACCATGTTTCCTGCGCAATAGATCGCATGGTGAGTTCCTGGGTAAGAGAACCATCTATAACCATGACTATGCCGGAGTCATCTCCAGATCTGGGGAATCTGTGATAAGCAGCTTGATGGACATTAATGTAAGCTTCATCTTTAAAATTCCCTTCATGATTTATACCGGTGAATAGTAAGTGGTTTGGAGTATTTGAGACGTAATTTGAAATCAAAAGTAAAGCGTAGATGCTGATAATGTTGAAAACCTGCCGTTGGATATCGTATGGTCGTGTATGAGATATTTTTTAATTTTAGCAGCGGGACGATACGCGGAGGAGAGATGAAATTGCGCAGCAGTTTAAGAAAATACAAGGCCAATCTTGCGTACTGATGATAAAATAGAGTATTCAAGAGTCTTTCATCGCTGAAGGGGCGTGTGGGTCAGACAGATATTGAGTGGATGGTCATTAATCTAATTTTAGATGGTATAATTCTAATGATTCTGCTTTTCATGCACAATTCCTGCCTCAAGTTTATGTGGGATAGAGGGTTCCATCAGACATCACACACATATGACTGGCATGCATGGCCCGGAAGTCAACTTATTGTTTAGGGGAGATTATAGACGAATACGACGGGGACCGGGTGCTCTCAAGTCTATCCCTATCGGACAATTGAGATAAGTCAATACCTACGAGACTTGAACTCGTTCCGTTTTATCTTTCAACATCGTGTCAAGTCCGAACCACTTGCTTCCGTATGTTCCTTTCTAGCAATATTCATCTCCAAATAATATTGTGATAAATGTCTTTCTCATACCACACTAGCCGCTATAAACTATTCTTTAAGCTCTTGTTACAAGGCATCTCAAGACCTTGTCGAATGGCGACTTAAGATTCTAATTTCTAGTCAATAGAGTAGATGGAAAAAACCTTGATTGATTCCCCACGAGACTAAGCATAACGTACTTACCAAAAACATCATAGAAATAACTCTTGTGCTCTTCAATGGGGCATTCTCCGGGGAAACAAACTTTGTGCTTCAAAAGAAAGGTTACTGATACTGGCCACGATACAAGATCCATCAAGTAAAAGTCAATCTTTACTTTCGGCCGGACGTATATCTGCTCAACTTGTTCCTTGGCCAGTATTACGATTCTGCTTCTAGTCGCTGATGCTCTCATCACAAGAAGAGTGGCTGGGAAGGTCTAGTATTGCCAGGCGTTGAGTTTAAGTCTAGAAGTGAGTTGCTTTCTGCTTTTATCTCAAAGAACCTCATGGTTACTCGGCGAGCTTCTCGATGGATTGTCAGAGGCCTGTCACATCTTCTATCGCCATTCAGAGAAGTTTTGCTGCAACGTAGACTAATCAGGGTTCATAGAATTGCGAGTAGGGCAAAGATTTGAAGTGGAATGGTTTGAATCTTATATGCGGAGAGCCAGCATATGTGACTGAAAGAGAGGCACGATACGCCATGACTGTCGCATTTCTTTGGCGGAAAACAAACTACAGGGCACAAGATATACTATGGTGCTCCGTTTTTTTAAATTTGCGGATTTGCTAGACTAGACTGTTCCTGGACCATCATATTTTGCCATCAATGGGCAATGGTCGCTTTGCCAAGGCCTCTCGGGCTGGGACCAAGGTTGAAATTTCGGATGAGTTCAGTTTTATGGACGACGATTCATGAGCAGACCTAGGATACTGAATTGACATCTTCTCTTCTCACACCAATTCTATCCTAGGCCAAGACTAGTCACAGAAGAACTGGACAGGAAAATATCTCAGGTCAGAAAAAGCGACTGTCCACACGTACGTGAGTTTTTTGTTCTGATCTGTACTAGTAATCTGTAGTTAGAGCCACAGACTGCTTATCCCTAGCGCTTGTCTAAATTTAGTGTGATAGAGATCATATCCATGATTATGAGTTTATATAGAGTGTCAGGCGCGGGTTCACTAGGCGCAAGACTTGAGACGTAGGAGAGAGCGGTGTGCGAGTTACTGAGGAAGGACGGCTCGTAGGAACGCGGGGATCGTTATAGATAGAGTAGCCGGAGGCGACGGTTGGTCATAGAAGGTGGCAGAGGACGAGAGTGAGATATGAGTAGAATTATGTAACTATTCCTAAAGACAGAAAACAGAGCGTGAAGATCTCAGCCTCGGAAATGAAAACTATTTAATTGTCCTCACTAGGCAATAAAGCCTAGGGGGTTTAAACGAGGCACCCGTGAGCCCTGCTTGAGGCATTTCTTTAGAATCCCTACACAGAGAGAGCTCTACTCTAGGGGAATAATTAAGCCTTTTATCTATCGAGCTAATGATACCCACAAGTCATCTTGGCCTGCCATACGACAAGTACCGAAGTTATCTGACAGCTTCCCATAGCTTGGTGTGGGGATATTGAGGAAGTAGAATCACAGGGGTGATCATAAGTGATTCAGAGAGGATATATGATTAAAGTAATACAGAATATTATGTGTAAGTTGAGAACTACGGGTGTGGACAGCTCTCACCATAACAAACAGCCGACTAACCAGAATTCTCTCACACTTGGTCAAGTTGGCACCGGCAAAGTCGAATTCTTCACCTTCCAGTGGTGCCGGTGTCGTCGCTCAGTATGCTCTGCATATCTGGGATAGCCAAGAAGAATCGCATCCGAATCGAAGTCGAAAGCAAACATAGACACATCAATATCGGTCTTGTCATTCTCCCGAGAGTCCTCTGCCTTAACCTCTCCACACACCACTTCACCTCAACGACCGATAAAGGCGCCACCCCAATTGCAAACAGGAGCTTGCCTCTTTCATTACCGACCATCATCCACTACATATTTACGACGCTATTTATACCCGCAAGGGAGAAATCAAGGTGAAAATTACAAAGCCCGGGTCCTGGTTTATGGGGGACTGTTGCTCTAATGGGGTTATACATCTTGAGAAAGGATAGGTGGCCGAGATATGGAGCGAGAGGGGGGGCAGGTCTCTGTAGACCATACTGGGACTGACATTTTCGAGATAATTTCGACTTTGGAACGTTTGTGGGCGCCAAGGCCGAGATCTCGTCCAATTAGCCACGAGGGTTTCTATTGCTGATGAGTCAACGGCACTCCCCAGCGCCCTGGACGGTACAAAAGAAGTTGGGCTAAGCAACTATACAGCAATCACGCTCTGTCAAGACTTTTCTGACATTTGAGCACGTCCTTCGGGAAGGAGTTGGAAGGATGCTAGAAAGGCAGAGTGTGAATTTCCCGAGGCACCCACAAGTCTGCAGCGCCCAGCTGGCCGGCCTCTTCGAACGCTTCAGAAGAGTCACTGAATTTTCGGATTTAGTCCTGATGTCGGTATTAGAAGAGCCCCGCACCCAGTGATTTTTTGCGATTTTTCTCGGCTGCCATACACCCGCAAATGGCCATCGTTTCGTTGGCTGGAGAGGGGAGATAGTGAAGGGCTAAGGGCTCCTCCAAGAGCATGATCGAATGAGGACCTGTGAGGGGCGGTACCGTGTGGGGGGAGCTGTATGGGAGGTATAGGAGGTGATATAATACTGACATAGGTATCCTTGGCCTGTAGGCAGAGAGGACCTGCATCTCCTACAAACTCATAGACTCAGACCGGAAAACAAAATAAATGATCGGATGAACACATATCGCGCGTGCTTGGTTAAGCGAGTAATGATGATTTTGTCATCGGTGTTTCCATTACGCCAAACCTCCGTTTATGTCAAATCCCAAACCCACATTCGTGTGAAACATCCCTGGCCACGCTAGTACTGTCAACTACTCTAAAGCAGAATGGACTTTAGTTGAAGTGCCTACTGAGTCTATAACTATCAGTCTCAGAAGCATGGATCGGATGTTGCACGCAACGTCCAATGCCATGACACTACCAAACACTAACCTCCGAGTAATTGCATAACGAAGGAGTGACTCCGTGGACGTTGTAGCCACAAGATTTTCTTATTTTATAATTAAAGTTCACAGATACCCGCATAAGCCCAGCCGGCCCCAAAGTAGTTGGAATGAAATCGAATTACGGATATGACTTGGCCTTATCCTTTAATACCATCAAATGCAAGCTAGAGGCTCGTACAAGCCTGCGTATTGGTATTGATTCGCGATAGCCCCACATATGTAATACTTCTTGGCAAGGGAGATGGCTTGGCTCCTCTTTGCTCGTATTTACATCGTATCACTCCCATCGGAGTGAATTATGCTTGTAAAAAAATACCCCACTTTAGGAAACAATGGTCTCGCTTTTAGATCCTCAACATGCCATGAAGTCCTTCATACACTAAATTATGCCATCAGTAGTTTATGTAATAGAGCCATACACTTATGGGCAAATTTAAAAATGGTATTACTCGGAAAATTTTACACAAATATTAAAAGATAGGTATCAATATTTTCGGTTCTCAAATAAAGTGTCGTCCAGTCAGCTCCACTAGTCATAAAAAATCTAGGCGGTGCTGGATACAATTGATGAAGTGTATGTACAAGTTATTTATTTCACTCCCATCACACACATATTTCACAAAACCACAGAGCCCCTACGCCAGTTGTAATTTCTATCGACCCCTCAAACTGGTGGCACTATAACCTCCGTGCCTTCCCATCATTAAAAACGTCAAAGTCATTAGCCTCATCTCCCATAAATTAAAATTACTCATAGATAAAGGCAATCTCCCTTTCGCGAAAGTAATTTATCTATTGGTCCACCAAGAGAAAAGCATTCAGAATTGCTACTAGCTTCACCTTGACTCAATTGCACCAACTCTCGCACACGTTGCTGAACGGATAATTTTTGAGCATTTGAACTCTGCCAGAAGCAACAGATATCTGAAAGTACTGATTGCGATCCTTGGAATAATACTAAGCGCTCTTCAATTTTTTTTAATGGTACTTTGGCTGCAAGGATGTCGATAGCCGTGACTATGCAGTACCCTGCAAAAGGTGAGGTAAATCTTGGTGGCAGATGATCAAGATCTTCCTGCTTCTGAACTAGTCGGCGTACAGTCTCGAGTTTATTCATCAGGTGTAGATAGTCTTCTGCATGCTCCGTTGCCACTGCAACGTGGTGAGCGACTTGGGCTTTCGATAAAATGGAGTGCGGAATGTAACGATTTAACTTCATGCCCGCGCTATGATATACAGAATGTGCCAATACAAGGGTCCCAAGCTCTCCTTTAATTGAAGCGAACTCAAGGTTCTCGATAGTAAGCTTGTAGTGATCTGGCAAAGACGCATTCCACGCTCGCATACGATATGTTGCGTCCTCATAGAATTTAATAAATGTCGCTGGAGACGATGGTACGGATCTTTGTGAAAATCTATAAATTTGGGCCAACACGTCGGACCAAACAGTCGCTATATTAATCAAATATGCCATAGACCCCACTGAAGAGTCTGCACTGGGAATAGATGTAGCCGTTAAATCAAAGAATGGAGCACGAGCGTCAGATTGTGAGTTAAAACTATTCGTGTCACACGGAAGTCGAAGAAAGACATCTTCGGACTTGAAAACGCCCAGGTATCCCGAGCAAAATCCATTAAACTTATCCATTAAATAAGTGCTCCAAAAGGTGCGACGCCGGCATTCAGAGTATCCGGCTCGATTTAATCCATAAGGAAAGCTCTGTAGGCAAGAATCATCGCTTTGCTCGATTTCTAGATTGAGTTTCAGTCCACTTGCTACTCTCATTGCAGAGCCACAAAATTCCCATGCCATTTCTAGCTGGTTGTGTGCAAAGTAGTAGAGTGCGAGAAATAGCCGTGATTGAACCAAGTGAATACTAAAGGGCCGGTTTTCACAACCAAGTCGAGCTACTGACGCATAAAATTCTCCGAGTGGTTTCTGCTCCGTCTTTGACACAAAGACCGATGCAAGACAAAGCATAGCATATAGCGTCGTGTGTTCATCTAATGACTTTTCTTTTTTTGAAAAAGCCCACTTTTCAAAAGATTCTTGAATAAACATACTGTGAGCTGTTTCTGGAACGCAGCGAAAAAATATGGGAATCCAATCCGTCATAATATCGGGCCGTGAATTGTAAGGGTTCATTTGCAATTGTTGAAATAGGCGTGGGTCCAAGGTAAGTGTGTCTGTTGGTGTTGTAGTTAATGGAGCAGCTTCTGGTATTGATGTGATAGGCGAAGTCTTCAAGTTTGTCAGGGTTGAATCATATGGATTAATTCGTCGACGTTTGAACCGATGTGATCCAGAATCAGGTGTTACGTGCCGCTGGTGCTGGCAGGGAGAAACTACTGACGATGCTTTCTCCTTGTCATTACTAGAATCATCGCCCTGCGGTGACTCGTGTCGAAGATGAATCTCTTCTGCCTCGGTAGGAGGAGTATTCGGGGTACTATGGCCGCCGCGAGGGCTAGTCTTCATCAGCATAATTAAATACCATTTAATTTTAGGCCAAATTTAATGACCATATAAGGGTAAGAGCACTTACGCGTTCTTAAACCGACAAACTCTTCCAAATTTCTGGCACTGAAGACAGCGAGGGTAATCAGGATCACACTTGATTTTCTTTTCACGACATGTAATGCAGGCTATAGCTAAGCGTTTTCGAGGCTTTCCAGCTTTCGTAACACCCCAATGTGCATTGACTACCTCGCCATCTATAACAGCTTTACAGTGTGTCCCATCATCGTAAAAGTAGCATATTCCCTCACCAGGTACGTCAGCCTGGCGGACGAAGCGAGGCAGAAAATGAGTTCCCGTCCAGATTTTGGGTCCGAGTCCATCGCGCCCAATTATTGAGGTCTCTGTGACTATTGGAGTTGAAGTAGTTGTAGTCGCTGGGTCACCTAGAATAGTAGGAGTTGGGGGGTAGTTGAGAATGACCGATGAACTTTGGGGCTCAGCATATGTTGGGAGATCTAGCCTTGAGTTATTCTGAGGAGATATAAAATTATCTGATAGAGGATTCCAAGGTGCCGTGGTTTCTCTCATGCGAAATTCCGAGTGATTTGGCTGGTTACTGAGTGGTGATTGGTAAGCGGCAGAAGGGTACATGGTAGGAACAAAGGCAGATTCTCGGAGACGTGAATGAGCGGTGTTTATTGGAGATATGGTCTTCTGTGAGGCTGTAGGGGGGGTAACATCTATTTTTTCAAGCGTTGCAGTTCTGGCGTCGTAGGAAAAGCGCCGTTCATGTTGCGGAGAGTGTGGAAATCTCACAACTTCAAAGGGAGCGGCTGGAAGCCAGACTTCTTCAGGTGGAGACCTGAAGCTTGGCGGACTAGGACGGCCAAAATGTGTAGGAAGTGGACGATGAGTAGCATGACTAAAAATTGAGCTGAGGGGAGGCAGGGATTCTCTCTGTTGGCATAATTGTCGTGACCAACACGTCTCATTCGTCTTAGGGGAGGTAACCTCAAAGAGAGTATTTCGGTGGACCGACATAGGTGAGTGGATGCTTAATGGGGTGAGGATTTTTTGAAATGCAGTTTGAATTGAGTGGTATGAATCTTTGAAGAAAAAATGGCGGGACGTATCGAAGAGATGTGGTCCTTTGGAAGTGGAGATTGTGGACTACGAGTATATTTGAGTCATAGTATAAGGCCGTGGGGCGTGATCAAGGAAGGCGCAACCGTCACTGGTTTCAGGGGATAGATTCGGTTCGAGGCGCCGGCCGCACCTGAAGCTTTCGTATCGAGATTCCCGCCGAAAAGAGATTAATGGGCGTTTTCTGGCCGTAGGTCTCTGGCTCTATCGTCTTTATCACCTGCGCCTGTCACTGCTGTGATAGTGACGGTGATGGCAGTAGTAAGAGTTTTGATGACAAGGGGATGAGATGACTCTCGCTCATATATGTGGTACCATGAACCTGCAAGAAGCTCGGTGGAAAGTGCCGTCTGCCGGAGAGTTGACACGACAGAGCAGGTTGAGAGGGGAAGCAGGGAGGGGTAGGAGGGGAAGTGGAAGGGTCGATGGAATCGACGGAAGAAGTTGTCGTCGCTGTCGTCGCAGTAGCAGTAGCAGTAGAAAGTTCTCCACGTTGGTCGTGGGGGGCTCGAGAAAATATGATGTATATGATGATGATGATGCTATTTCGTGTTGGTGGCCGAGCTCATGTCACCAAAGTCGAATGTTAGAGACGGTCGGGGAGCCCAAAGATGTCGTTGTCGTACAGTTGCTGCAGTGGTGTGCCAGGATAGCCACATTCCCAAATTGTTCCCTACTTGGATACATGCGCTGTTTCGGGGATGATATATCAATTGTTGGGGCGCAGAGAAGAGACACTTGAAGGCTACTGTTAAGGATGCTCTCGCTCACCAACTAAAAATTGACGACTTTTTTGCCTGCAGTGGTGGTTGGGGGTAGGGGAGTGACAATGTAGTTACTGAAAGGGGGACAGCAGACAGGGCGAGGATGAGCGGCTGGGTGACAGGAGTATTATGGTCTAGGATCAATATGGTAAAGGATATAGCCATAATAATATCATTTTAGAAAATCATTATGACCAATATTACAGGATACAATGGTGAATAGTAAATTTACTGATTATAACTATCCGGGTTATTTATAGAATAATAATAAAAGGCAGATTAAGATAGCAGGCGTAATAAGGCGTTGCGTTAGGAGGGGGGGGGACAAGTAAAGAAGGGTGCAGTGAATGAACGGCGGAGAACACAGTCTGTGAGGCCAGAGGAAACAGGAGCGGAAGATTCTGGAGGCTAGGAATGCCTTGACTTGCGGAGGATGTCGAGATAAATTAGATGGAAACACAAACGGACAGCGTTGGTCGTGGCTCTACACAGCCCAGATTGCAGCAATGCTGAAAACGTCGGTTAGGGGGCTCGATGCTAATTGCCACTCACCGTTGCTGACAAAGCTAGCCGGCAGCGTCAGGCCTTGCCGGCATCATCCAGATCATTCAGGGAGCCACTTGGCCAGGAAGGGGGATTAGAGTTTGACAGAAAGTAGCCAGGGAGGCCGGAAGAGGGGTTTCCATTGAGCCATCGAGGCTAATCCCAGGAGAACACAGAGCTCAGCCGCCCGTGCCAGACTCGTTAGACTCCAGCGTCCAGCCGCTCAGTGCTGTGAACTCGCCGAGCTGCCGCATCGTGGCTGCCGAACCAGCCGAGGCTGAACTTCGGCCTTGCCCTCCACTCCCGCGAATCCGGCTGAGGCAGCGGGAGTAGCACCTTGGGAAGACCAGGGTTGAATAGAGGGACAAATCTATCAAACACAACGCAGCTTGAAGGTGATATATGGCGAAACCTTCCCCGTGCAGATGCCCAGGTTTTCCTTCAACGCTGGGATGAAGCTAGCTTAACGGGTGAAAACACTGACAGATGGTCCCAATGAATTTCTGCCGCTATTCCAAAAGGCAAAGCACGTTGGTCTTTTCTCGACAACTACATTCATCGCGTGTTAGTAACGGAGCTGATGAAGGCTGTGATCTCTTGCACAGTGGTGCAGTTTCGCCATGACAATATTCCATTTGGCTTGAGGCATTCTTGCTCAGCACAGGCGCTGGGCACGAGGCTACAATGAAGTAAACCAACTCTCTACCCACCCAAGTTCCGTGTGGGCTTGCTGGTCCGTGAAACGCGAGCATTTTCATAGCTCGAGCCATACCCACGCATGCCTACCTTGTCGTCCCGCGCGCGTAACAAGGAGGTTGGCGCCTCGACACAACTATTTACGCAATGCTGTGGTCCAGATAAATGGAGACCACCACCTCACTACCCCGCGGCCTAATGAGTAGCATGCCTATACCGTCCGACCTCTTCACTTGGCCAAGGACTAGAGTAATGCAGTCGAGACAAAGCTTCCTTACCGGCATCCTGGGCCTCAGCATTGTGTGGTTTGGTGATTGTCGAGGCCTCCTGCGCTCACATGGTCTTGGACTACGCGTTGAGCGAATGTATCACATAGTTCCGTAGCTGCATGAGTTCACGAGGGGACGATAGTGCCATGCATCCGGCCGGGCGCAGCCAATTAAACGCCTTTTGCTCGTCTTAGCTTGCTCCACTTGAGGTTTTTTGGTCGGGATAGGCTTTGTCTTGCGACACGAGACTTGTCAAGTAGTAGTCAGTAGATATTCCAAGAAGTTTTTTCATGGATGAGCCGGGATAACCAGCTGGCTGGATAAAGGGATGTTGTACGGACCGGGTGTCTGATACAACCACACCGCGATGTGACGATAATCATGTCAATCCCAAGATATTGTGAAAGTGGCGGCATCGTTCAAGGTCCTCGATTAAGCTGTCGCGTGTTCAGAGATGGTGTGGGCAACACGCCTGTAACCAAGTGAGGCTACGAGGAGCGAGATACGCTGCTCTGAAGCTCCAGCTGTTGGGTTGATGGCGAGGAAGGAGGGACCTGGCTCATTGGATGGGGAGGAGGCAGCCCTCTGCGCGGCATTCTAGCGATACGTCATTTGGTTTCCCCCGTCACGCCGGACGCGCACCCGACAGGGGCGTGTCAACGGCTCTAGGGATTCCAGACTCCAGGCGATGAGAGCTGGCCGGCAACATGTTACGAGGCTTCCAGAGCAGAGCAAATTTGTTCTAGGGGACAATTTACTTCCCCATCGTCCGGCACATGCCGCTCAGGCTCAACTAGTGAGCTGTACATACCACCTGCTGTGGCCCATTCTGACCGACTTGAACAAGTCTATTGGCCTAAATTGGGACCCATCACGGCGCACCCTTATTGCTGGTTAGAAAAAAACGCCACATGCCCTGACCTCTCGGTGTCCAGGAAATAGAGACTCGCCATGCGACACGCTCTCATTCAGCTAGCAGTAATCTCGTCTACTGGTCGAAATACGCACGTCAAGCCTCTACGTTGGGGTGACCCTGCATCTACCTCGCCGGCACCTCGAGATTGCGCCATCTGGGCCGGGAGTGGACACTTGGCCAAGTTATCGACACTCGCCTATCTTCGCTCAGTCTGTCTCTATCCGGCGGCCAATCCAGGAAAATTCGAACCATAGTCGCCGTGACTCACACTCAAATCAGCCTTGTGGAACGTGGCGAGCCGTCAAGGATTGATGAGTCAACGCTGGTTCTTGTTCACAATAGCCGGCTTGCATCTGATTGACGCCCTTATATCGTTCCTTCTCCCCACTGCACGATTACTACAACTACGCATAGTTTGATCTGCTCCGGTACGTACATCGACCTTGTATTATCATGCCTAACAGCTGATTGAGATTGATATTCCCAGATCTATCGCTAGCAAGCCATCGGCTGGTGAGAATATCAGCAAATTTGGCTAGACCTCGCTGGTCTAGTTCAAGAACTGCTCCGACGGTTAGATCTAACGCAGGCCCACTCGTCGATCGATCCTGCACGTCGGGAGGAGGGTTAAATAGGATGCCCCTCTGAGCCAATCATAGGCCAACACGACCGTGATCCTACCCAGCCCGTATTCTTCATGGCTTCGACATAAAGAAGTCTAAATTTTGGGCGAGAAATCACAACACACTTACCACTCTATTGTCATCAAGGCCCTAGAATTTTAGCCGTCACTCACGATTCTTACTTGGCAAAATACTCAATTTGCATTTCTCGCCTTGATCAAAATATCCCTGATATTATTTAGGAATACCGGAATCGCTTTATGTCTAGGGTTTTCCTTTGCTGCACACCGGCTCACATGATGCCTTCCTTCCGCACATCAGGATAAACAAGTAATTGCAAGCTGAAATTGGCGCGCGATTCGCGTACGATGCACCTTTCCGATGTATACTGCCGATCTCTTACAACGACAACTGGGTCGCTCTTTGAGCTGTCGCGTTACAGCCGTCTGATGATTGCCGTCATCAAAAGTTTTTAGAGGATTGCTCATGTAATCCAATGTCTTAACTAGAAACTATGTAGCTGATTTACAATGCTGACATGGGTAATGTGTAAAGAGAGCTTCCATTGCTCATATACTACGATACCCCTCACTTAAAACCACATATAACTCGACTCGTATACATGATCAGAACGAGGTACCAAGGGTCAGGGAATTTTGCTTTTCGATTATTTGCGCCCGACCAGCCGCATGTGCAAGTTGAGTACCGACGCATCGAAGGTAGGGATAACTTTTATAACTTGGGCATGAATTCCCTGCTGACTGCTCAGCACCAGTGAGGTACTGTAATTTGTGGAGCTCCCGATCATCTGTAGACATGAAAGGGAGAACTGCTCAGAGTAATAGTGGCGGTGGACGCAGATTAATGCAAATGGCGCAAGCATATGTAAAGAAGGGAGAAGAAGAAATCATGCAAGATTCCTTCTGCAAACAAGCATTAAATTTTGCACATACCCGCCTGCACCCCAGCGCTATCTCCGACTCACATCCGAAATCTACCTTAAAGTCTGCGAGATAGCTGCTAAAACTTTAGTGGGCCGAATTTTACGATACCGAAAAAGCCTGAAAACCAAATTGCAAGTCTCCAA